AAGTAATGAGGGAATGATCTCGATGACAACAAACTTGTACGATGTTGTTTATTTGGTCCCATAGGCTTGTTATTATTATTTATTACTTGACTGTCTGATTATTAACCTGCATCAGGTTATTGTGCTGACTGCCACCCTTAACAGTACCTCTAGTGCAGGAGGGTTGACGGCAGAGGTTGTGTGTGTGTGGAGGACTACATCTAGTCTCAGCATGCAGTCAAGTTAACTCGAAAGTACTAATACCTCATGTGGTGCTCCTCCAAAGTTCAAGTTTGTCTAAAACGATTATCCTTATTCCTTTTCCGCTGCCCACCACCATTATGATTGTTATTCTTTAGATGACTGTAGGGTAGCTGTTCTGACGAGTGGGTGACGTAGTTCAGGGGCAGTGTCAACCTCAATGGTCCTATAATTGGTGTGAACAAGGATACTGGCATTTGTCCTTTTGTTTTCCAGCGGATTTGGAGGGTGTGTTTGTGTAGGTCCTGATGTTTGTGTTTGTGTAGGTCCTGATGTGTGTGTTTGTGTAGGTCCTGATGTGTGTGTTTGTGTAGGTCCTGATGTGTGTGTTTGTGTAGGTCCTGATGTGTGTGTGTTTGTGTAGGTCCTGATGTGTGTGTTTGTGTAGGTCCTGATGTGTGTGTTTGTGTAGGTCCTGATGTGAGTGTTTTTGTCCTTTTGTTTTCCAGCGGATTTGGAGGGTGTGTTTGTGTAGGTCCTGATGTTTGTGTTTGTGTAGGTCCTGATGTGTGTGTTTGTGTAGGTCCTGATGTGTGTGTTTGTGTAGGTCCTGATGTGTGTGTTTGTGTAGGTCCTGATGTGTGTGTGTTTGTGTAGGTCCTGATGTGTGTGTTTGTGTAGGTCCTGATGTGTGTGTTTGTGTAGGTCCTGATGTGTGTGTTTGTGTAGGTCCTGAGTGTTTGTGTAGGTCCTGTATGTGTGTGTTTGTGTAAGGTCCTGATGTTTGTGTTTGGGGGCCTAGTATGTATGTATGTATGTATGTATTGTATGTATTGTATGTATGTATGTATGTATGTATGTATGTATGTATTGTATGTAAGTATGTATGTGTGTATGTATGTATGTATGTATGTATGTATGTATGTATGTCTGTGGAGAGCCTAGTGTACAGTAGGAGAGAGGAGGTTAAGCACGGGTCTCCTGGTAGAGCGCAAGACAAACTCGCCATCATTGTTTGGCTAACTTTAAAATGGTCTCGACCTGCCACCGATGGTTCTTCTTCTCTATCGATCTGTCTGTGTGTGTGTGTGTGTGTGTGTAGTTGATTTTGTTTAATATTGCGTCTTTATGGTTGTATTTGTGTATGTGTATGGTCGCATTTGTCTTTGTATGTATGTGTGCGTTATTGATTATGTGTGTGTGTGTGTGTGTGTGTGCGCGCAGCTGGAGGTGGTAGTAATGCCTCGTCCACATTGGAGTCTATTTATTGGCTCATGAAGTCTTCCTCTTTTATTCACGCCGCTTTGTCTCATTGTCCTCCTCCTGCTGCTGGTGGTGGTGAATTGTCCTCCTCCTGCTGGTGGTGGTGGTGAATTGTCCTCCTGCTGCTGCTGGTGAATTGTCCTCCTCCTGCTGCTGGTGGTGGTGGTGTCCTCCTGCTGCTGGTGGTGGTGAATTGTCCTCCTGCTGCTGCTGGTGGTGGTGAATTGTCCTCCTCCTGCTGGGTGGTGGTGTTGTCCTCCTGCTGCTGGTGGTGGTGAATTGTCCTCCTGCTGCTGGTGGTGGTGAATTGTCCTCCTGCTGGTGGTGGTGGTGAATTGTCCTCCTCCTGCTGCCTGGTGTTGAATTGTCCTCCTGCTGCTGGTGGTGGTGAATTGTCCTCCTCCTGCTGGTGGGTGGTGAATTGTCCTCCTGCTGCTGCTGGTGGTGAATTGTCCCTCCTCCTGCTGCTGCTGCTGGTGGTGGTGAATTGTCCTCCTCCTGCTGGTGGTGGTGAGTCCTCCTGATGGTGGTGGTGGTGCTGGCTGTGGTGAATTGTCCTCCTGCTGCTGCTGGTGGTGTGTCCTCTGCCTTCTGATGGTGGTGGTAAATTGTCCTCCTCCTGCTGCCTGCTGCTGGTGGTGGTGAATTGTCCCCTCCTGCTGCTGGTGGTGGTGGTGCTGCTGCTGGTGGTGAATGTCCTCCTCCTGCCCTCCTTCTGCTGCTGGTGGTGGTGAATTGTCCTACTTCTCCTCCTGCTGCTGTCCTCCTCCTGCTGGTGGTGGTGAATTGTCCTCCTGCTGCTGTCCTCCTCCTGCTGCTGTTGGTGGTATGCTGGTGGTGATGGTGTCCTCCTCCTGCTGCTGTTGGTGGTGGTGTCCTCCTCCTGCTGCTGGTGGTGGTGAATTGTCCTCCTGCTGTGGTGGTGGTGGTCCTCCTGCTGCTGGTGGTGGTGAATTGTACCTCCTTCTGATGGTGGTGGTGGTCCTCCCTGCTGCTGGTGGTGATGAATTGTCCTCCTGCTGCTGGTGGTGGTCCTCTCCTGCTGCTGGTGGTGGTGAATTGTCCTCCTGCTGGTGGTGGTGAATTGTCCTCCTCCTGCTGCTGGTGGTGGTGGTGTCCTCCTGCTGCTGGTGGTGGTGAATTGTCCTCCTCCTCTGCTGTCCTCCTGCTGCTGGTGGTGGTGAATTGTCCTCCCCCTGCTGCTGGTGGTGGTGGTGTCCTCCTGCTGCTGGTGGTGGTGGTGTCCTCCTGCTGCTGGTGGTGGTGAATTGTCCCTCCTGTCTCCTGCTGCTGGTGGTGGTGGTGTGTCCTCCCTCCTCCTGCTCTGCTGGTGGTGATGTCCTCCTGCTGCTGGTGGTGGTGGTGTGGTGGTGAATTGTCCTCCTGCCACTTGATGGTGGTGGTGAATTGCCTCCTTGCTGGTGGTGGTGGTGAATTGTCCTCTGATGCTGGTGGTGGTGGTGAACTGTCCTCCCCTTCTGGTGGTGAATTGTCCTCCTCCTGCTGCTGGTGGTGGTGAATTGTCCTCCTCCTGCTGCTGGTGGTGGTGGTGTCCTCCTGCTGCTGCTGGTGGTGAAGTGATGTGCTGCTGGTGGTGGTGTGTCCTCCTGCTGCTGGTGGTTGCTGCTGCTCTCCTGTCTGCTGATGGTGGTGGTGAATTGTCCTCCTGCTGGTGGTGGTGGTGCTGCTGCTGGTGGTGAATTGTCTGCTGCTGGTGGTGTGTGTCCTCCTGCTGCTGGTGGTGGTGAATTGTCCTGCTGCTGGTGTGGTGATTGTCCTCCTGCTGCTGGTGGTGATGAATTGTCCTCCTTGCTGGTGGTGGTGGTGTGTCCTCCTCCTGCTGCTGGTGGTGAATTGTCCTCCTCCTGCTGGTGGTGGTGGTGGTGTCCTCCTCCTGCCTCCTTGCTGCTGAATTGTCCTCCTCCTGCTGCTGGTGGTGGTGAATTGTCCTCCTGCTGCTGGTGGTGGTGAATTGTCCTCCTCCTGCTGCATTGTCCTCCTGCTCCTCCCTGCTGGTGGTGGTGGTGAATTGTCCTCCTGCGTCCTCATGGTGGTGGTGTCCTCCTCCTGCTGCTGGTGGTGGTGGTGTCCTCCTGCCTTCTGATGGTGGTGGTGAATTGTCCTCCTCCTGCTGCTGGTGGTGGTGAATTGTCCTCCTCCTGCTGCTGGTGGTGGTGGTGTCCTCCTCCTGCTGCTGTGGTGGTGAATTGTCCTCCTCCTGCTCTGGTGGTGAATTGTCCTCTGCTGCTGGTGGGAATATTGTCCTCCTTCTGCTGCTGGTGGTGGTGAATTGTCCTCCTTCTGATGGTGGTGGTGAATTGTCCTCCTCCTGCTGCTGGTGGTGGTGATTGTCCTCTGCTGCTGGTGGTGGTGAATTGTCCTCCTTCTAATGGTGGTGGTGAATTGTCCTCCTCCTCCTGCTGGTGCAGGTTGCTGCTGGTGGTGGTGGGATTGTCCTCCTCCTCCTGCTGCTGGTGGTGAATGGGGCTCCTCCTGCTGCTGGTGGTGAATTGTCCTCCTCTGCTGCTGGTGGTGAATGTGCCTCCTCCTCCTGCTGCTGGTGGTGAATTGTCCTCCTCCTGCTGGTGGTGAATTGTCCTCCTCCCTGCTGCTGGTGTGGTGAATTGTCCTCCTCCTCCTGCTGGTGGTGGTGAATTGTCCTCCTTCTGCTGCTGGTGGTGGTGAATTGTCCTACTCTGATGTGGTGGTGGTGTGTCCCTGTTGAATTGTCCTCCTCCTGCTGGTGGTGAATTGTCCCTCCTGCTGGTGGCGGAATGTCCTGCTGGTGGTGGTGGATTGTCCTCTGGTAGTACTACTGGTGGCACACACACACACACACACACACACACACACACACTGCCCTGTGTGTACGGAATTTAATAAAATTTAATATTTAGTGTCAGTTCTTAATTCCCCTTCACTACCTGCACTAGTTCCTCCTCTCCCAGAACCCCTAATTTCCCTGCCCACAGAACCCCTAATCTCCTGCCCACAGAACCCCTAATCTCCCCTGCCCACAGAACCCTTAATTCCCTCCCATAGAACCCCAATCCCCCTCCCCAGAACCCCACCCTCCCCATAGAACCCTTTAATCCCCCCTCCTCATAGAATCCCTTAATCTCCCTGCCCACAGATCCCCTTAATTCCTCCTCCCCACAGAACCCCTCATTCCCCCCTCTCTCTATAGGACTCCTCACTGGGGAATTGCTCTTACTGTCTTGATTATGTAGCTGTAGGTATATCCCTTCTTTGGGTAATAGCTTCTTTCTTATGATATTGACTGTCCTGTTCTCGGCAGTGCTCTTACTGTATTTATTATTATTATTATTATTATTATTATTATTATTATTATTATTATTATTATTATTATTATTATTATTATTATTATTAATGCTTTTTATATGTTGGAATTGTAGGATCCAATTATTGTAATCTATTTGCCTTTTGTAACGAGCATTATTCATCGTATTAATAACCGTTGTGTTTGTTCCATAATATAGTACAATGATGTTTGTACCAGTTGTTCCATAATGCTGACGACAGCTCTTGTGTTGCAGATGTTGGTATCGGGATCGGAGAGACGCGCCGAGCTAGCAGCGCACAGGAGCGGCACGTAAGATACTATCAGCATAGCTAGGTGAGCCCCCCTACACACACACACACACACGCGGGCGCCTATATGTACAGTAGCTAAAAGAACTATCTGTGCATACTTTGTGGGAAACAATATGAGACCATGGACGATAACTATTGGTATACAGTATGAGGGCTGTCACTAGTCACACGTAAAATTTCGGAGCATATCAATCCCCACCTGCACAGATAGTTGTTTTAGCTACTGTACATAACCCTATGGCACACCTGTACACACCACCACACACCTGTACACACCACCACACACCTGTACACACCACCACACACCTGTACACACCACCACACACCTGTACACACCACCACACACCTGTACACACATCCACACACCTGTACACACCACCACACACCTGTACACACATCCACACTCCTCCACATACTTGTACATACCTGTACACACCTCCAAACACGTGTTCACACCGGTACACACCTCCACATACCTGTACACACCTCCACATACCTGTACACACTCTACACACCTGCACAGTACACACCTCCACATACCGGTACACACTCCACATATCTGTACACACCTCCACATACCTGTACACACTCTACACACCTGCACAGTACACACCTCCACATACCGGTACACACTCCACATATCTGTACACACCTCCACATACCTGTACACACACACATCCACACACCTGTACACACATCCACACCTGTACACACCTCCACATACCTGTACACACATCTGTACACACCTTCACATATCTTTACTCACCTCCACACACCTGTACACACATCCACACCTGTACACACCTCCACACGTCTGTACACACCTCAACACACCTCCACTTACCTGTACACACCTCCATATACCTGTACACACCTCCATATACCTGTACACACCTCCATATACCTGTACACACCTCCACATACCTGTTCACACTTCCACACACCTGTACACACCTCCACACACCTGCACAGTACACACCATCCCATTCATGTGCTATTGATTTTTATCTTTAGTTGAACTGTAATGTATTGAAAGTGTGATTGATGGTGATTATGTTGTCAGGTGTGTGATTGATGGTGATAATGTTGTCAGGAGTGTGATTGATGGTGATAATGTTGTCAGGAGTGTGATTGATGGTGATAATGTTGTCAGGAGTGATTGATGGTGATAATGTTGTCAGGAGTGTGATTGATGGTGATAATGTTGTCAGGAGTGTGATTGATGGTGATTATGTTGTCAGGAGTGTGATTGATGGTGATTATGTTGTCAGGAGTGTGATTGATGGTGATTATGTTGTCAGGTGATTGATGGTGATTATGTTGTTAGGAGTGTGATTGATGGTGATTATGTTGTCAGGAGTGTGATTTATGGTGATAATGTTGTCAGGAGTGTGATTGATGGTGATTATGTTGTCAGGAGTGTGATTGATGGTGATTATGTTGTCAGGAGTGTGATCGATGGTGATTATGTTGTCAGGAGTGTGATTGATGGTGAAAATATTGTGTCAGAAGTAATTGATGGTGAAAATGTTGTGTCAAAAGTGTGATTGATGGTGAAAATATTGTGTCAGAAGTAATTGATGGTGAAAATGTTGTCAGAAGTGTGATTGACGGTGAAAATATTGTGTCAGAAGTAATTGATGGTGAAAATGTTGTCAGGAGTGTGATTGATGGTGATAATGTGTCAAATGTGATTAATGGTGAAAATATTGTGTCAGAAGTAATTGATGGTGAAAATGTTGTGTCAGAAGTGTGATTAATGTTGAAAATATTGTCAGAAGTAATTGATGGTGAAAATGTTGTGTCAGAAGTGTGATTGATGGTGATAATGTTGTCAGAAGTAATTGATGGTGAAAATGTTGTGTCAGAAGTGTGATTGATGGTGATAATGTTGTCAGGAGTGTGACTGATGGTGGTTATGTTGTCAGGAGTGTGATTGATGGTGAAAATATTGTGTCAGAAGTAATTGATGGTGAAAATGTTGTGTCAGAAGTGTGATTGATGGTGAAAATATTGTGTCAGAAGTAATTGATGGTGAAAATGTTGTCAGAATTGTGATTGATGGTGAAAATATTGTCAGAAGTAATTGATGGTGAAAATGTTGTGTCAGAAGTGTGATTGATGGTGATAATGTTGTCAGGAGTGTGACTGATGGTGGTTATGTTGTCAGGAGTGTGATTGATGGTGAAAATATTGTGTCAGAAGTAATTGATGGTGAAAATGTTGTGTCAGAAGTGTGATTGATGGTGAAAATATTGTGTCAGAAGTAATTGATGGTGAAAATGTTGTCAGAAGTGTGATTGACAGTGAAAATATTGTGTCAGAAGTAATTGATGGTGAAAATGTTGTCAGAAGTGTGATTGACGGTGAAAATATTGTGTCAGAAGTAATTGATGGTGAAAATGTTGTGTCAGAAGTTTTGATTAATGGTGATAATGTTGTGTCAGAAGTAATTGTTGGTGTTAATGTTGTGTCAGAAGTGTGATTGATGGTGTTAATGTTGTGTCAGAAATGTGATTGATGGTGATAAATAGTGTACCAGGAATTATAATTGACTATAATGAACAGGAACATGACTCTACTGTATGTGTGAGAGAGAACCTTTGTCAAATATATCCAGTAAGAGATATTAGAAAAATACATTATGTAACGTACTCTTGTTGGAATGTTTATTTGTGTTTGTATCTTTACTTGTAGTTGTACCTTTGCTGTTCTTTTTTAAGTGAAAGATATGGATATTAAGGATGGAGGAGTGAAAGCTTTGTGGGTGCTGTGCTGTGGGTTAGAGGCGATGTGTCAGTGGATTCAGGGTCTAGTGAGATGCCAGGTGACTCTGACCCATAGCATGAAAATTATCAATGCATTACTGTACCATTTTCTTCATATACAGGAAATATCACTCTGCCTTGTTTTAAGGTTTGTTCTGTGCTGACAGTGGATGGAGACTTTTTCGTTGATGGTGGCAGAGCTTTTGTTCTGCTTTGATAAGCCTTATTTCACTATAATTCTGTGACTTTTAATACTTGTTTAAAAATATTTTTACTTGTACAGACATTGAGTAGGAACATTTCTTATTTTTCAGGAAATTGTCACTGCTTTGAAGTTACATTTTTCATTAATTATTATGTGAAGAAATGTACTTAAATATGATACATGTAATTCTATTAATAATGATATAAATATTTTATCACAGACCTCATCAAATAAGTTGCATGGTTGCAGGGGTATGCGTGGCACGGTGAAGCAGGGGACCGGGGGTGCTGGGGGGGTCAAGGATGAGGGTGGTGGTGGAGTCAAAACGGGAAATAGTGGAGGGAGGCGGAGTAAAGCCAACAACACCCACACTGCCCCCCTCCCTACACCCACCATCAAACAAGAAGTAGGTGCAGAGGTAAAGCCCGACCCCGACGCTGCCACTGCCACTACGCCCTGTCTCAATGGAGATGACCTTGCCTCCAAGACTGCACCAGTCTGCCCCGGCAACAACAACAACACCACAAACGCAAATAATAATAATAACAAAGGAGCTACTGCTAAGGTTAGTCTTCTGCTGAGGATTGTTAGCATATCCTGGTGTAGTTCTAAGTACTATACTGTTACTTATAGCATAATTAACCTTCATGTTGCATCTCATTATAAGATTTAAATAATATAGTACACTGTACTGTGTATACTGTACAAGTACTGTATTTAAGATTATGATCAGTAGCAGAGCATTCACTTTATGAATGGGAGTTTCCAGATTTGAATCCTGGCTAGAGTTTATTACTGGGTTTGCTTATTTTATGCTAACTGTTGCATGCTCATCAACTATCCTTGGGTGGACTAGCATCCTTCCAGGAGGGTGGGGCAACTTACTGTACTGTACTTGGTGTTAATGTTCATCATAAACTTGAAGAAAAATTATACTGTACTGAATAGTACTGTACATTACAGTATATATGAAAAAGACTTAAAATTAAGATATTTTATGAATAATAATACAGTGATCAGGAAAGTTATTTATTATTAATAGATTTGAAATTACAGTGGTCCCTCGGTTAACGAGCGCCTCGGTTAACGAGATTTTGGTTAACGAGTTACCTTCCATAAGATTCTTAACTTCGGTTAACGAGCAATCCCTCGATTAACGAGTTTCTTACGAGCTGACCTGAACATGTTTTCGCTTGCATTTGGCGGTCCACCAGCTGTAGTATTAGTCCGCCAGTACAGTAATCGGTTCTAGGGTTTAAATTCCTTACCATTTTAGTAAATATCAAGAAGTTTATACTATACAATAATTTTAAAAGTTTATATTAAATTTTTTAGTAATTTTAACAATTATTGAACATGCCATCCAGCCTGACAACACACCATACAGGCGTCAGTCTTTGTGTCTTTTCAGTGGAGGTAACATCTTGCTTGAGACTCTCTTCAACTAAATGCTTTTTTTCTGTGTTTGCAAGCAAACTATTGGTCATTTTGAAATTTATTTTACATATTGACAATCTATAATGCAGTGCAGTGTTGATTTAAAGAACATAATCTTGAATTACACCAAGAGAACTAAAATTTTATGGGTGAAATGGCGCCATGGGGTGACTTCTCTTCCACCCCAATGCCTTCTCTTCTCCCTTCTCCTCCACCCCCATTCTAATTCCCATCATCTTCATCATCATCATCATCCAGGAGCCTTCTACATACACACCTCAAAGTAAGTGTACTTTTCTACCTTTTTTGTTGAATTTAGGCAATTTTCGGTGAGCTGGAACCAATTACCCCAATACCCATTGAAACAATGGTTTCGGTTAACGAGTTTTTCGGTTAACGAGCAACCTTCTAGAACGGATTGTGCTCGTTAACTGAGGGACCACTGTAATATCATAAGTGCTGGGTGCTACATCTTTCATAAATAAATACTGTGTGGGTAGAATGGAAAACTAGAAATGGTCTATACTTAACATACAACATTGGTGTTTACGTCTCAGGATAAGCAGGAAGGATGAACAGTATCTGGATATGTAGCAAGTTGTAATGTGATACATTTTATGATATTGATGTTTGCAATATGTTCTGTAATGTTACTTGTGTTTGTACTAACTTTTTTATTAAGTTAAAAGTTGTTAGGTTTTTCAGTTTATTAATATGTTGTGACAGGAAAGGAAATTATTCTCATAAGATGTACAGTATGCAGACATCAATAAAAAATTATTAGAAAGGTCAATTATGTAAGAATCTTCCCTAACATTTTTATTACTGTACAATACTTCCCATCTGAACAATTGTAATTGTTCAAGACTTTTCAGTAGCACTTAAAAGTAATTAGTGTAGAAATTGTGTGCTGGCTTGGCTGTCATTTAAATGAAACAAAATCCACATGCTGGCACCAGAAAACAATCAGGTATAGAAGGGTTACTGTAGCAATTGTACACAAATGAGGAAGGAGGAAGGGAAGTAAAAAATAATGTCCCATAAGATACTGAGGCAAATTCATCTGCCATCCCAAGTTGGTTTGTAAATTTGGGAAGTGTTGGCAGATGATAGAAACTGACTCATATTACATCATAAATATCCTAAATCTTGGGATATTTCATTTAAATCATATTTTATGTTTATGTCAATTAATATATTAACCTTAGCATATATATTGCAATAATTGACTGTGAGTTTCTGATTACGGCAACTTAAAAGTTGGAGAATTAATATTTCATCACATTGTACTGTAGTGGCAGTAACTTAAGGCAGCAGCACGCTGAGCATTTTCCTCCCAACTATGCTGGGCCAACACGTCCGGCCAGCAAAACAAAGAGACGTTTTTGTCACACTGGGAATTCCTGTCACAGTTCTTGGGCGATGTCCTTCACTTGCCTTTCTTCAGGAGGTTTTTGCTGAAGCACTCATGTCTGTGGTCTATCAGAATATGGTAGTCCCTAGCACTCTATTATGTTATGCTGGGAAAGCGGTCGTGAAGTTTGTTTACAAGTGGCAGCGGCTGGCTGGTCTGAGACCCTGAATAATGATTTAATAGTACTAAAGAAGTTTTAAAGTGATGGATAAATAGAAACATTTCACTGTTTTATGTGTTATATTTTAAATTATTATTGTTTCACGATTTATTTCAATTTTTACTTAAATATTCAACACTAATATGAAGCTCATTGAGTTCTAATTTGGCCAGCAATACTTGCCGCCAAACCATTGTTCATTTCTCGCATTGGCTGAAATCCTGCTGCTTGGTGGGCTGTCAGCCAGCAGCCAGCAAAAATGGCCAACATGGTGGGAGGAAAGTGCCCAGTGTGCCGCCACCTTTACCTTCTCATTTTGTAACTGAAAAAAGTTAGTTTGTTTAAACTGTGTGTAATAGTTTTTTTATTCTTTAATATTTAACAGGTTAAAACGGAAATAGCTAATGGAGGTCCAGAGGGTGATACAAAACTCAGCACGACGTCCACTGCCACCACCACTACCACTGTCACCACCACCACCACCACAACTACCTCCACCACCACTACCACCACTCCACCACACAGTAGTGAAGGTAAGAATACCAACCATAACTCAGAATTTTTGGTCTTCTTCTGTCCGTAGTTGCTTGACGATTTTTCTCGTGTGTAATAGCTTGTATAATATCTTGCTTCATTTCAGTATTTAAGAGTTTTAAAGTCTGAGAGAATGACAGCAAAATGTCATATCTTGATGGTTTGTAAAATATTAGGACTGGCAATACCTGGTCACCATTTTCAACGATGTTATTTAGCACATTGTTAGAGAGGATGGTGGAAGATTTGTAGGTTGCAAATACAGTTTTAATATATGCTAGTATTATTTTATCTAATTCCTTTTTATAAATTGGACTTGAAGATAACTGTACTACAGTATTTTGAAATTCCATGGAAATGAAAATACTTTTTTCCTTAAAAGTTGTGTGACAAATATCACCAAGTGTTGGTAGGAAATTGTTGTCAATATATTTAGTGAGTCTGGGATGGTGAGCATGGGTACCCATGGTGCCGGCAGGTTGTAACGTTATTGGTGATGGTGACGGGGCTAAAGTGGCGGGTTTCTGCGCTGGAGTTGGCAGCCTGGACGGGGCCTCCTTACCCCAGCTCCATACAGCAGGTAGGATATTCATAAACTACGTTGTGCAGCCTTAGTGGACATATGAAGGATGTTTATCATCACTTGTGGGAATATTATGGTTGAGAACATGGATAAATGGCTTCTTGGTGATTTCTTATGGGGCTTGGTGTTTCTATCCTTCCTCCCACATGTCTTCAAGGATGGCCTTAGGTGGTAGATAACACTTAATTATCTTGGGTCATATGTTCCTGAAAATACACCTATATAGGCAGTTGATGAGGATACTGTAGGGCAGTAAACATACTAAAAGGGAAACAAAAGTATGGAATAATAATATGTACAAAGTCTACTGGAATATAAAGGATTGAGTCAAATGAATACAGTATTACCCGCTTAACGCGGTTTTTCACTTAACGCGTTTTATCATATACGCGGTGCCTCGCCAGAGCTGAACTTTCACTTAACACGGATTTTTTCCACATATACGCGGTGAGTGTCCGGCTCGAGACGCTATTTTTAGATTTGCCCCACCCTGCCTGACTGCCTGTTTTAGCTCATAAAATTCATACAAATTACCCGGCCAGAATATAATTTACATTGCTGGAATTCTTATAATTTGTGATCATTTTGAATATAAACATCATATTTTTGCATTAGACATACAAATTTTAGATAAAAATTTTTCTCAAATTAACTATGTTATCTTTTGTGCAAAATATATGACATTTATATTCAAAATATTCCTGGTCTTACAAGGAATCCAGCAATGTCAATTATATTATCCTAACTTTAGTTTGAGGTATTATTTATTAAAATTTAGTGGTTATCCCACACATCTCCTTGGGACGGTTGGTGGGGGGTGGGGGGGAGGGAGGGACCGACCGACCATCTGTTACCCTGTGAAGAAATATTTTTTTTTTTATTAACTGAAGATATTTGTTTTAGCTCATAAAATTCATACAAATTACCCGGTCTGAATATAATTTACATTGCTGGAATTCTTATAATTTGATGATCATTTTGAATATAAACATCATATTTTTGCATTAGACATACAAATTTTAGATAAAAAATTTTCTCAAATTAACTATGTTATCTTTTGTGCAAAATATATGACATTTATATTCAAAATATTCCTGGTCTTACAAGGAATCCAGCAATGTCAATTATATTATCCTAACTTTAATCTGAGGTATTATTTAATACTAAATGTTAAAAACCCTGGAAGGGAGGATTGGTGGGGGGTGGGGGGGAGGGTTGGGACTGACCGCGCGGTTGGAAGAGGGGGGAGGCAAGGTGGGGTACTTTGATTGACAGATAGTGTTGTGAAGATTATTTTTTTTTTTATTAACTGAAGATATTTGTTTTAGCTCATAAAATTCATACAAATTACCCGGTCAGAATATAATTTACATTGCTGGAATTCTTATAATTTGGTGATCATTTTGAATATAAACATCATATATTTTTCATTAAACATACAAATTTTAGATAAAAATTTTTCTCTAGGTAACTATGTTATCTTTTGTGCAAAATATAGGACATTTATATTCAAAATATTCCTGGTATTACAAGGAATCCAGCAATGTCAATTGTATTATCCTAACTTTAGTTTGAGGTATTATTTATTAAAATTTAGTGGTTTTCCCCCAAAAATTTCTCTGAGAGGGAAGAGCCAGCGAGTGTAGGAGAGAGGAGGGAGTTGAGTCCATTATTTGAATGGACATTAACTTGCACTGTATTTCTTGGCATTAATTGTGTGCATGTACCATCATAAAATTAAGATGTTATTTTTACTTGCCAAATATAGGTATGTGCTCAAAAAGTGGAGCTTGGGGGTCGGGCCGGTTTCTATTGGAATTAATCCCATATGTTCTGTTGTTCACTTATCAAGGATTTTCACTTAACGCGACCTCTGTCTAATTGACTAAGTAAGGGTACACAACTGTAGTGTTTTTCAAAAAGGTAATGTTAATTAATTTATTTGAGAATACTGTATATAGGAATGTGATTGAATGTACCTAAAGGAATTCTTTTGAGGCATTTTTAAATGTCGTCTTTCTCTTCAAAGAAAGAATCCTAATGTGGAGAGAGGAATATTAGGAACCTTGAACAATGATAAATGAGGCTGATATTAAAAAAAATAGAATGATTTTACAGTAGGTTAAATATACTGTAGTGAGGTGTGGGTAGTGCAGCAAGTAACTGGAAGATGGTTAAGGAGGGAGTACTTTGGCAGGCAAGCTCCTTCAAATAGTAGATTTCATTGTGTACAAAGAGAAACAATGTAGTAAAGGCTAAAATGATGCACCCAGGCCTAATGGAGCACCAAAGATCATTGCAGGGCCTTAGGGATGCAGGAATGCAATTCGAAGCCACTAGAACCTCTAATGCACAATAGATAAAACAGTGTTCAGATGTAGTCACCCTGCAGATTCCTTACTCCCTTATTATTCCTTCTTCTTTTTTTAATTAAGAAACATGTCTTTTAAACACCAGGATATATAATGAATATTTATCGAGTGTGGTGGTTTTATGGTGGACCCAACTACTGTACTTTTTCTCACTGCTGTGTTACTCTGCTTGTTGCTAAGTAGCTCTTGAATAGATATTTTCTTGGCACTTTATTGACTTCTACAAAAATTGATTCAATGTATAAATTCCAAGTACCTGTCTATGATGTTTATTACTGTTTTCAATGCTTTTTAGCTCATTAAATTTAAAAATATGAAATCACTGTAGGTTATACAGATTAATTATGTTTATATTATTCACTGAAGGTTTTTAAGAAATTTGTTAATGCTGTATATTTCATCATCCAAATTCAGAACAAATTTATATACAGGGTATTTCTAATACAGGTATAAATTTTTATAACACTGAGTGCTTTTATGCAATAATTCATTAATTCCTTCGTCAGTAACAATATGCTGCAATCAGTTGAATATAATTAACATTTTAAGAAACAGTATTATCCAATTGGTCTATTTTCTTACCTACCACTTTACTCAAACCTGTGTTTTTTTTCTTTTACAGATGGAGGGGATGGGAGTGGCATGGTCCCAGGCATGGGCAGCATGGGGGTCAAGGGCGGATCAGGGGCTGGAGTGTCAACAAGTGACGCGCAGTACATGCAGCAACAGAGCCAGATCTTCGTCTTCACAACCCTCTTGGCCAACAAAGCTGCTGAGGCTGTTATACAAGGGTCCTTCAATAATATTATTGCCTTTCATTGTGCTCAACCGGGCACTAAAAAACTGCTTGAGGTATTATTGTGTATTGATGTTGTTATAGATAAGCTAGAAGAAAATATTTACGTTTTGGACAAATATTTCTTCCTTCTACCTAAGAGAATTTTCAAATGTTTCCGAATACTGAATCACTTTTGGTACAGGTGCAGTTAGAATGTACATATTTCTCTGAAACAGTAAGTCATATGTGCACAGATAGTGGGTGTTTGTAAAGTGAAACAGTTTTTTAATTAGCTTTTTGTTTATTTGCCGACACAGAAACACCCTCTTAAGACCACCCAATTTGTCCGGCACAACCCTGCACACTGGTTGAACACCATTGTCGTGAAAGGCAACAAAGGAGGCCACATGAAGGGACCCATGGCTCCTAATGGCCCAATGATGGCCAATGGACCAATGGGACCTAGTGGACCCATGGTACCATGTGGACATATGGGACCTGGCGGACATGGTGGTGAGATGGGACACATGGTAAGTGGTCGTGTCAACAAACACTCAAACCAAGTGTTTACTAAGATATTACTACAAAAAATATATGTTGTAATGTAAAATTTGAAAATGCTATACTACAGTAAATATAATTGCTAAATGTATTGTTAGAAAAAAATATAAAAAAATGTTTCTTTGATGAATCAATATGTATTAAGAGAACACTGAAGACAGGTAATTATCCATTTTTGGTGATCATATTCTCATTATTCAAGATTATTCTTGTTTTTGAAGATAGCATTTTTATGTAAGAAATGACAGATGGTAACCATGGCTTGCAGATATTATTCTGATTTCTCAGATTTACATTAAGGAAAGTACAGTACACCAGAGCCTCAACATTACATCAAAACGTAAAATTTCGCAAATAACATTCTTTAATACCCTACCCTTAATATCATACCTTAAATTAGAGACCTAAGGCTACAACAAAATCATAAATAGAGCAAAAAACTTAACTTAAGCCTCTAAATACTACACAGGTACCTACAGTTACTTTATACAGTTGTGTTATGTGTTAAAAAAAATTAAATGAGAAGTAGCGGTGATGCGTTGTTTGCGGCCGTCCCCTGACATACCACCACCATTGTGCCATCAACACAAACACGCCTGACATGCAACGCTGTGAATGAAACATGCGTCCATACTGATTTATATTAGGTTTTCCTTTAATAAACTTATGACTGGGCAAATATATAATTTATCCCAGTCATAATTGTAATATCAACTTCATGGGAGAAAAATAATTAGTAGTGTTACTTATGTATATAAAGTGTATTTTTCTTACCTCATAATGAGTTGCTGTAAAGGCATCAGAAATGATACTGAAGATATTATTGCTCCTCCTTTATGACCTCTGGACTGGGATCATCGACAGTCTCCGATGAAGGGCTGGCAGGTGAGGAGAGGCGGCAGTGGAAGGAGAGTGGGCTGGGTCTCAGCGTTAAAAACATTGTAATTGGCAATTGTCTGGCTTTATTTTTTAGTTCTTCATGGATTTCATGGTAAGGTTGCAAAGCAATCTCGATATTCCGTTTAACCTTGATGTCAGTTCCATTAATAAGTCATAGTCATAATGGCCAGCAGCTGACGCACTCATGCCGTTAGCGAGTGTATCCAACACTTAATTTTTCCCTATTAGAGTCACTCTTTGCACCAGGTGCACTACCACCAGTTAATGGCTTTTTGGGAGCCATGACCCAGCTATAATTAAAGTTAGAATTGCCCAGGAGAAAGAGTAAGGATTCTCGTGGCCTAGCAACAGCAGAAACAACTCAGATGAAACTGCCAGGAGAACACAGCAGTGTGGGAAGTGGCAGCACGTCATGACGTCACATCAAGGTGGATGCCCACGTTTTTTTTTTAACCTTTAAGCCCCGGGTTAGGGTGCTGCTGGCAGCCCCGCCGCCTGCAGGGGGGAAATCGAAAAAATAATCTCCCCAAAAAATAAATGGCTGGGAAAATGAGGCGGACGTTCTAGAGCGTCACCGGGGCCCTAAGGGTTAAATACGCATCATACCTTTTTATTTTATTTCATTAGAGATAAACCTTTGAGGCTCCTTCAGGAAAGTCGAATTTGCAAAAGATTATTTAAGTATGTTGAGGTTCTGGTGTACAGTAAACCCTTGCTATTCGAGGTTTTGCGATTTGCAATTTTGACTTCGTGGTAAGCAGGTAGTGGCTAGTTTACGAGCCTCTCCCACAGCATACCAGTCCCCCACACCACTAGCGTCTTATTTCCCTTTATTCAACTATCATGCGCCTCTTGGCATTTGTTTGTGTTGTACTCTCAAAAATTTAGTGTTTCTGTGTGAAATGACCCCTAAAAGACTGCCTAGTGCTAGTGATGCTAGTGGAGTGAAACGTTTGGAGACCTCACAAGAAAACAACTACCAATCACAATGTTTTTCAAAAAAGAACCAGCCGCTCGCCCAGCTGATTCTTCTCCTTCACCTACTCAGTCAGCTGCTGCCGCTTCTCCACCTCCCTACCACATGTCACTTCACCACCCACCTCCCCACCACGCACCTCTTCCACACTCCTCTCACCCACTCACCTCTCCACCAACCACCATTGCATCACCCTCTTCCAACAGTGATCCTGATGATCTCCCTATGCCTCAGTAACCAGATTTCATCCTACTGTACATACACCTTCATCAAGCTCCAAACTTCTACATGCAGAGGAGAGTAGTATTGGTGACTTGAGTTTCTCATACACAGTATAGGTATACAGTAGTGCACTAAGGTAGTATAAATTGCTATTCACGGTTTTGTCAATTCACACCAATCCTTGGAACCTAACTTGAATAGAAAGGGTTTACTCTACTAACTTAATTATCATATTTAAATGTCTTTTTGTGTGCAGGGTGATGGGCCTACCAGTATGATGGGTCATGGAGACATGGGCAGCCCAGGAATGATGGGCCCAGGATGCCCTGGTGGTATGATGGGCCCAGGACACAATGGGGGACCTGGGATGATGGGACCAAGAGGACCAGGCATGATGGGCCCTGGTGGCCCCGAGGGACCTGGGATGCCAGGACCTGGGGGCCAGATGATGATGCCTATGATGGGACACAATGGACAGAGAGTGCAAGGTATGTCCATCAGTCTGTGTGTATCCAGTAAGACATATCCCACTGTACAGCTAGGTGGCCTGTGTTGTCTCTCCCTTGCTTCCCCACCATTACACAACTTCTCATACTCCTCCAAACTGACACCTTTTACCTTCATCCTATATTGTACATGTACACTCATTTTTTCCTCCAAAATGATTCCACTTGTTGTCTTAACTGAAAACCCTGATAGATAACTAATTAGTGTGCAGTTTTGATGAGTGAAATAAATATGTGTATGTATTCTTAGTATTTAGTCTGACACTGTACATGTTTATTTTTATGTTGGTAGGTGCCCCAGCAGGTGTTAAAGTACCAGATGACCACCTCACACCAGAGCAACGACAACATCGAGAAGAACAGATGGCTCGAATACGTCACATGCAGGCACTACTTCTACCAGAATTACATTCTCCAAGCCAGGGTGACAATGGCCATCCCGGAAACCAGACTCCTTGCTCTACTGGCCAAAGTGGACCTAATATGATGCCATGTTCACAAAGTCAAGCACCATCAGTGTCACAAGGCTCCCAGTCAGGCCCATCCTGTTCCCAGGTCACTTCTGTCAGTTGTATGGGGCCCTCTCCGGTTACTGGGATGGGACCATCTCCTGGTATGGGTCCAAGTCCAAACATGGGACCCTCACCTGGAATGGGGCCTAGTCCAGGCATGGGCCCAAGCCCTGGCATGCCAAATACTAGTATGGGTCCAGGGCCAGGCATGGGTCCCAGCATGGGTCCTGGGCCTGGAATGGGTATGTCACCGGGTATGATGGGTCCAGGAGGCCCCAATTCAATGGTGTCCCAGAGTGGAGTAATGATGGGTCAGGGCCCCATGGGTAATAACATCATGATGACCTCGCAAGCTAGCATGATGGGTGGGCCAATGGGTCCAGGTGTCCCAACCATGAGAATGGGTCCTGGTGGGCCTCAGTCTATGATGATGGCTGGACCTAACCCTGCTTCATCCTTGGCAGCTCAAGCTGAATGGCAAAGATTGCAAGCAGAATTCTTTGAAAGCAAGAGAGAAAAAGGTGGTCCAGGATGTCCTGATGGTTCCATGGGACCAATGGGTCATATGGGGCCAATGGGTCCTGGAGGTCCTATGGGTCCAATGGGTCCAGGTGGACCAATGGGACCAGGTGGTCCAATGGGTCCAGGTGGACCAATGGGACCAGGTGGTCCAATGGGACCAGGTGGTCCAATGGGTCCAGGTGGTCCAATGGGTCCAGGTCCTATGGGTCCCATGGGTCCAGGAGGGCCTATGGGACCAGGGGGTCCTATGGGTATGGGTAATCACATGGTTGGGGGACCTATGATGCCAGGCTCAATGGGTGGTAATATGGGTCCTGCTGGTATGCGCCCCATGGTACCTGGCGGACGCATACAGGGGCCACCTCCCCCATATCATGGTCCTCGTCCTGTTGGCAATGGCCCTTTGCCATCTCCAGGATCACCATCTATGTGTGCCATGACATCTCCTCGTATGCCGGGAGGAGGACCAGGAGGAGGGCCAGGAATGAGAATGGCCGGGCCAGGAGATTCTCCACGGCCGCTAAACCCAAGTAACCCAACCACTCCTGTTAGTGGGCCTCCAATCACTAGCCCATCACTACCACAGAAGGACCAGCAGCCACACACACCACAGTCAAGTAAGAGTCTTATATCATCTCTGACGATTTCTTGTTAAAAGCTATATATTGTTCATGAAATTTAAGTATAGATTGAGACTGTTAAGATATCAGCTATATAGGGAATATATACCGTATATAATTTTTTTTAAATCACAATGTAATATATACTGAAATCTGTGAGTTACTCATTAGTATATGACATTTGACGTCCAATTGGTAAAATACTCCACGTCTTTTACACTTTATTTTAAAACTATTTTTCTTATTATTTAAATGTTTATAGTAAATACAGTATTCATCTGTTTTTAATTTTGGAAGGATAGTGTATACTGTATACTTTTTCTTTACCTTAAGTAAATGTTTGTTTAAATGCACATGAAGTATCATATAAATCTTATCACTTTACTGGATAGTAATATTTAATGATATGCTTTAAAAGACTAATAAATAGTGACTACTTTTTGATACCCTATAGGAAGAAATGTTTGTTTATCCTTTTTTTCTACATTCTGAAAGAATCTTCATGTTCGTTTATGAAAATGTACATGTTTGACCATGGAAGTATAATGGCTTTTGTTGCTTTATAGGTGACACATCCTTCGGAAGACAGTTACAAACTTTGGCTCAACAAAAACATCAACAGCCAGGAGGACAACAACAACAACAAGGCGGGAAAGAACCTAATCTTATGCCAGTCCCATCACCCCAGCAGATACAATACCTCAGTACCTTTGAGGGTCAAGAGTTGACCATTCAAAAACAGCCAAACACCAGCCTTCGTGATTCTGATATTATGTCACCGTAAGTACTGCCATCATTTCTTTTATAATACTGTATGTAACTACTGTCAGTGTATGGTATATCATGAAGTTATTTCTGCTTTCAGAATCATTTGCAGAACCAGTAGAAAACCATATGTCAGTGTCACTGCCTTTAAAGACTGCAGTAACATGAATTATAAGAACACCATCAGATCTACAAAAAAGGATGATTTCTTTAGTTTACATTGCCAAAAAGAAAGCAACTAAATTTTTTGAATAGTTAGTTACCATGAGACTATTATGATGATGTTAATGGTTTGATTTTCCAGTTAGTTGGCTACAAAGAAATAACCAAGAAACACCTCTTAGGCTTATTGCTACACTACCCTAGCCACTGAATTAGTTTTCCTCCAGATCAAAAGATTTATGATTTATTGTAATACTACTTTCATCTGCTTTACTAAAGTTTTTCTTTTGTTGTTGATAACACATTAAATTATGTTGAAACTCATTTGTGTATATTGTGTACAGTAGTACCCCGATTTACGCGAGTCAATTGAACCCACAGGGTACCGCGGAAAGTGAAATAGAATTGGAACAACAGAACATATGGGATTAATTCCAATAGAGACTGGCCCCAACAACTCCACTTTTTGACGCAAACAACTATGTTGTAGTAAAAATTTTATCTTAACTTTATGATGGTATGCACAAACAAGTAATATAGAAGAGGTTAGGTTAGGAAAAATAAATAAGGTTAGGAAAATAAAGGTTAGGTTAGGAAAACTAAAAGTTAGGTGTAAATACCATTAGAAGAGATGGGTCTGCATACGATGGAGGCTGGTTCGAGGCAGAGGGCAGATTACTGGCCCTCAGGTGAATCACCATTACTAGGTGCATCACCATCACTATCAGTTACAGTTGTCAGGGCTTCCTGACAAATCTCTCAAAGTCACCTTCACTGTCACTGGCTCTGGCTGGCTGTGGTGGGTTGCGGGCACGGCTAGGTCAAGCGTCGTCTTTCTCCTCCCTCCCTCCCCCGGGTGGACACGCTATATACTTTAAACCATTACAGCTAGCAGCAGAGGGGGTAGGGATGCATGGCCAATCACAGTCCGACACGTCATATGACGTCAGTGATAACGAACAGAGACATGACCTGTACCCTTCAAGGCGCTTGCCCAGGCGAGGCGGGAGGAGGGAGGAGGCGGAGCAGGCGGTGGGGCGAATCTAAAAATAGAGTCGAGCGGACACTCTGCGCATATATGGGTAGATGAACCGCTGAAAGTGAAAGTTCGTTCTGCAGGCACCGCCATATGAGAAATCGTGAAAGTGAAAACGCAGAAAGCGGGTAATACTGTATTGAATTAATGGATATTTAACAATATATAAAAGCCAAGTTTGAGTTAGGCCAGAAAGAGTTGGCAGGCTCTTTAGGACACAAGATTGCTCAACATCTTCCTGAAGGGTCGCCAGCAGCCTGAATTTTAAACTAATGTTCGACACCAGTAGTATTAACGGCGGTAAGATTAACTAATTCCAATAAAATTCATTTATAATATTGGAATTAGTCAATTTTACCGCCACACCACCCCGTTAAGTACTGTACTGTGGTGTCCCTCAGGACTCAATTAGTTTAAAATTCAGGTTGAAACACGACGACACTCTTCAAGGGAAGATTTTGTTTAATAATACGGGTGTATGTATTTTCAAAGTTCCATTTCCAATATTCACTATAATGTAAGTCATAATCTCTTAGAACGCACCATTTTAAATCTTCAAAATTTAAAACTTCTGGTCTCTGAAGGGGAGACTTTATCTCAAAATTTTCCTCTCATAATTTTATCTACTTTGCCACTCTGAATGGTGTGATTTTAACTGTGAGAAGTTAGGTATTCATCATGGTTATGTTCAGATTATTCTTGTTTGCACTGGAGGACAGGATTGATGCATGGGAAGTGACCTCTCATGAGTCTCTTTTCAATCATTTACAAACATCGTTAAAGAGGAACTGAGGGTGTTGAAAAAAGATCGGGGTGGTACTGAAGGAGTGAGTGTCAAAATCAATGATTTGGGCAGAGATAGGACAGTCCACACCCAGCAGGTACTCATACTGAAGTTAAAGGAGGGCATTGTGGCTGATAAGGCTAAAGTTGCTGCTGCTGCTGGAAGTGTTAAAAGAGCACTGAAGTCCATTCCTGTTGATATATGCAGGAAGACGAGAACTGGCTCCCTTACTGTTAGACTTCCCACCGAGAAGGCAAAGGAGGAGGCTAGTGGGGCAATGAGTTCCTGCTTTGGTACACACTCAGACTTCTTGGTGTCCAAACCTAGAAAGATCATGCCATAAATGACAATTGTAGGCATTGCTGAGAAGGATAATGAAATTCAATAACTGTCAAATAGAGGCTCCAAGTTATCCCTTGTTTTCACAAAGCTAAAATGAGAAAGTAAACTTGCAGTCATGAAAATGTCACCTGCAGTACGAAATTCCCAAGAGAAGTTTCAAGGATACACTTATGTTGGACTGAACAGAGGCAAAGCTTATGACAGGTTTTGGGTCACTTAGTGCAACTACTGCCCAAAATTTGGACACCTTGTTTCAGGTTGTCCCAGGAAGCTTGATTCTCCAGTTTATTGTGCCTTCTGTGCAGTCAGTCATGTGTCTAGGACATGCTCAAATTGTTTCATTCTTCAGGAGCAAAGACAGGAATATCAAAAGGGGGGTCCAAGAAATTATGGGTGGGGGAACATGGCGAGCAGAGTGAGCCCACCCATGTGCACTTGATGTTAGGATATATTCTGAGGGCAATAGTAATTACTTTTTATGATGCAAAAATGCCTGAGTACTGCATTAAAGAAAAAGCATTGGAAGTTTCTGATGAAAACGGGGAGTCCAAACCCCCCTCCTAGATATGCCTCTGCTCTTGCAGTACCACCCAAGTCAGTCATTTTGCATCAAGTAAAGATTACCCTATAATGACTTCCCAACATAGAAAAGTAATTGAAAACACTGATTTTACTTGTTCAAAAATGCATAGTGCCCCCCTTGAGCCTATTAAAAATAGGTCTGCTTAATATCCATGTGATTCAAAATAAAATGTGTCACATTAATGAGTTTCTGAAGGAGCTCAGTTTGGATATCTTTTGTGTAACTGAAACGTGGTTGTATGAATCAAACATAAACTCATAGTGCTCTTCCCAAGACACAGTTTCTTGTTCATGTTCCCAGACCTGCTGCAGGAGCTGCAGGTGGTGGAGTGGTGCTGATCTATTCTGTGATCTTGCTTAACATTAAACTGATTAGTAGTGACTTTGTTTTTTCCTACTTTGAATTTATGGAAGCATTTATAAATCTTAATTGCAAAGTTATTAGAATTTCTGTTGTGTATTATCCTGGTCACCCAGGTACAGATCGGGAGTTCATAGATCAATTTGGCTTGTTTCTTGATCTGTGGTGACTTTAATTATTGGGTTGACAACCCATCTCTGAAACCTTTTTCCTTTGAGTTCTTGGAAATTCTCGATTTTGTCAATCATGTCCAACACATCATTCTGGACACATTCTAGATCTAGTTTTGTCTCCTGCTGACTGTGATTGTGTATTAGATGTTACAGTTGACCTGTTTTAATGTCCCAAGACCCCCTTCTTACAGTAAAACAATTACTTTAAGAAACTGTACAAACGATGACCAGACCATGATTGATCAGGAAGTCAATCATTCTTTGAATTGGGTCAACTCCTATGCTTTGTTCTCTGATGAGATGGTTAAATTATACAGTACCCTGAATAATGATATCTTCCAGTCCATTTCAGACTGTTATTGTCCAGAGGTCACAAAGAGAATTACAGTACGAGATGACTCTCCATGGTGTGACTTGTCTATAAGTTCTCTTCGTAGGGATCATAGAAGTGCTGAATGAGAGTGGCGAAGGCAGCGAACAGACCGTACTAGATCAGAGTACACCAATTCCCCCATTAACGCTGTTTCAGTCAAAGTTGTTTCGTTAAAACATCATTGAAAAAAAATCTATGTATAAAATAATAAATGTACGACAATTTTAAAAACTACATACGAAGGCGCTTGGCACCTGGTTGTGATAACAGCTGGCTGTGTAAGCAACCAGCGTTATTGTTATTGTTCGGTGGTTGGTTGATGCTCTTCCAACATTCACTCAATTTGAAATTTACAGTACAGGTTGTACCTCTCTAGTCCGGCATTCTGTGGTCCGGAACGATTTTAGTTTGCCCATGGAGAAAATTAATTTGAGTCTGGCACTTTCGATATTTGGCTAAATTTTGCCTTATTTACCCTACTTTTTTGGCAAATTACTGCCTGTAATAAAGCAACATCCTAATAAACCAACGAAAATAACACAGATAAAATTAAATAAAAACTAAAAACAACACAGAAAAGTTCTTATGTTCTACAGCTTCAGCTTGAGTTGAGCATACGTCATCCGAGTGAAAACACACACAACAACATTGGCTGTCCTTATGTTTTCAACTTTACCACCACTGGTGGGTAGAATTTTTGTTTTAAATTCAGAAACATTAATTAAAACATATATGAACAGTAAATAAGTGTTGCTTTCATATTCTTAGGTATAGTAATGACGATATGTTTTCACATGTGCGCACTTACATACGTTTTCCCACTTTTTTCCTTTACCGTTAATGGTTAGCTACTTATATTGTTCCATTTATTAACATTAAATAACATTACTTAAAACAACCATATTAATTTTTTACATAAATTTTACAACGGCTACAACCAGGGTCTTATTTTCTTCAGTTTTATATGTAGAATTTTCTTCAGTTTTATATGTAGAATTTTCTTCAGTTTTATATGTAGATCCAGTCAGTCACTGGTTTTGTAATCAACGAAAACAATCCCGTCTCGTTTCCTCGTGTTTTAAAATTCTACATATTACAAGTATTAATGAACTTTATTGTTCATTTTGCACACATAAAAATTAATTAAATAAAAAAGACATTTTTTAGTTTAACAAATTTATTGGCAGAGCTTGTAGTACAGTTTGCCTATTCTGAATAATTCAGTCAGGTCTTGACACTGAGGGTGGTATCACTTCTCACTGCCACGCAGGACAAAGGTCATACACAAAGAAATGCATCATATTCATTAACAGCTATAAATGTATAGAGGTCAGATTCATATGGGTAATGTCACTGTTCACTGCCATGCACGACAGAGGTTCGTACACAAAGAGATGCATCATATTCATTGACAGTACATATACATATATGTACACACACACATACACATATACATACATATACACATATACATACATATATACATGTACATATATGTACACATATGCACACATACACACACATATGCACACATACACACACATATACTTACATATACGTCGGTCAGATTCATGTGGGTAATGTCACTCTTCACTGCCATACAGGAAAAAAGACATTCAGTAATAAACAATAATGAATCTTTTGTACAGAAGAGAAATGGCACTGTTTACAAGATTTGTGCACGTCTGAACGTTGGCGGGCCACTCAAACCCATCGAAATTCGAGTTTCCGCCGTCAAAATTTTAAATTGCGTAGTGTTTTTTTTTGTGTCCAAATAAAAAACGTCGAATTAAAAACTCCCAAAATTTGAGAACCTACTGTACAACATTTAACCCTTCAATATATCTTCAAAGAGACCAAGAAGGAGTGAAAGTGGTGCTAGTGCTTCCAAGCGTAAGCACAAGTCACTATCTATCCAGGAAAAGGGTGAATTTCCATGGTCTGGCACCGCTCAGGTCCCGAGGTTGCTGGACTAGAGAGGTACAACCTGTATTTTATTTAACAGATGACTTATTTTTTACATTCATTTACTCTATTTTGTCATTCTGTCTTCTTTTGTCTTAAATTAAGTGATTTTAGATGTATTTAAGGATTTAGGCTATGATATAGTGGGATTTTAAACATTGTTCTGTAAATACGGTATGCATCTAGCATGTGTTTCGACTTACTTACAAATCCAACTTAGGAATGGAACCTGTTTGTAACCTGAGGACCCCTTGTGGTGATGATCCTTCATGCCTTGAGGAGCCTAGAGCAGTACAGGAATGTTCTTTTGCTTCCCGATCCTTTTCCTATATAGCACCCAGATTGTACAATCGGTTGCCTGCATCCATGGAGCAGCTGACGTCTGTGGAGGAATTCCAGAAACAACTTGAGACCTTTTTTTTTTTTTTTTTTTTTTTAGCTTCTGATCCTGAACAGGGTATGGTGATGGAGAATTACAGGGTTTAGGAAGTCGAACTTTCACTTTTATTGTAGTAAACATTATTTCGTTTTATTGTTAAGTCTTTGATTTTCTAGTGTTTTGAGCACTAGCGAATTGTTCAGAAGAACTGGCACTTCTGTGAAACAAAAGACCAGCTATTATTATTATTATTATTATCATCATTATTTTAATTCAAAATTACTTTTCAATATGCATATATCAAACTATTTTATTTGTATACACTGATATTTATGTTAGCTTTCAATGTTGAATTGAAAATTAAATGAAAACTTATGTTACAGGTTGGGAGACACCAGTGTAGGTGATGGGAGTAGAGTATCTGGTCCAGGTACTCCTTTGGGTGGTCCCACTACTCCTCTCACCCCATCTTCTGAGCCACCACCACGGTTCACAGGTCCAAACACACCAGATCGCTTCCCTGTGCCATCACCAGGAATGCCAGTGCCCTCTGCACCCCACACTCCTCAAGCAACTCCAGAAAATAAGGGGTCTCAACAACGGTACACTGGTCCATCTCCACAGGCACAAGCTCAGTCAAACAACTCTAGTGCCACCACTACCCCTACCAACAACAATAGCAATAATAGTAGTAGCAACAACAGTAACAGCAACAGTAATAATAATAGTAATAATAGTAATAGTAATAACAATAACAGTAATACCAACAACAGTAATAACAGTAGTAGTCAAGGTGGCCCCAAGACACCATCAATGGACTCAAGATTCCCAGTGCCGTCACCTAAGACTCCTAGCATGTGCAGTGGTCCAACCACGCCGAGTGGGCCAGACAGCATTCCACGATTCCCAGGAGCTTCTCCTCTACAGTCTGGTGGAGCAGCAGGTCCAGGAGACATGACCCCCATTGGAGCTCGATTCCCTGGACCAGTGGGTGGACCCACACCACCATCAGGGAATACCAACAATCAGATGATGGGCAAGATGAGTAGTGGGTTCTCCATGTCTCCAGGCAAGTTGGCAACTATGGATATGGCAGGAGATTTCCATAATCCAACAGCAGCCAACTTGCCACTAAACCCCAACTGTAGCACTCCTGGTGGTCTGCCTGTTTCTGGCCCTGGCAAGGTGTTTGACCCCATCTCCTCCATGGCTCAAATGAGTCAGCAACTCACTTCTGGAGCTTCTGGTTCCTCACCTCCTGTGTCTTCTGCACCCACACCCACCATGCCTACTGGGACAGGACCTACTATGGGTGCAGGGGGCCCATCAGGCCCTAGTGGTCCTAACATGCCTAGTGGTCCTGGCATGCCTGGTGTACCAGGACTACCTGGTGGACCTGGATTGCCTGGTGGACCTGGATTGCCTGGTGGACCTGGATTGCCTGGTGGACCTGGATTACCTGGTGGACCTGGACTGCCTGGTGGACCTAACATGTCTTGTGGACCTGGAATACCCACAGGACCCAATATGCCAGGACCTGGAATGCATGGAGGTCCAACTATGTCAGGAGGACCCGGTATGTCAGGAGGACCCGGAATGTCAGGACCTGGAATGCCAGGACCTGGAATGCCAGGAGGACCTGGAGGTAACATGATGGATGGTCCTGGGAACATGATGGGTATGCCTCCAGTGTCGTCCAGTCCAGGCATGATGCAGAGCCACGGAGCCATCACTTCTCCGGCGTGTAGTGGTGGTGGTCCAAGAGGAACCTCTCCTAGTAATATGTCCATGATGGGTGGACCCAACACTCGAATGGTTGGTCCAAACAGCATGGTACGACCTCCTGCTCCCAACTGTACTATGGCTGGGCCTTATCCTGGTGCAAATGTGCAAGTGAAACCCAGTGCTCCAAATACTATTCAGTACCTGCCAGCTAGACCCCAGAACACTGGAAATGGTCCCAGAGGACCTCCAAGCTTAGACTTTTTACCAAGATTTAATAATCCTAATGTGGACAATAAAGTGCCCAATTCACCCATGTTCCCTAACAGTAGTACGCCTAATTCTATGTGTGGGTCCAATGTGCCAATGTCGACTATGGCCATGAGTGGGCCATGTGGGCCAATGACTGGACATATGACTGGACCTATGAATGGGCCAGGTGGACCAATGGGTGGCCCAAATGGACCAATGGGTGGCCCAGGTGGACCTATGTGTACTATGGCTGGGCCTAATGGACCTATGGTGACTATGAATAATAATATGAATAGCATGAGTGGACATAATGGACATTTCCCCATGTCTGGACCAGGTGGCCCCATGGCAGGCCCCAGTGGTCCAATGGCTATGGGTCCAAATGGTCCAATGGGTGGTCATATGGGAGGGCCAGGTGGGATGAGTGGACACAGTGGGCCCATGATGGGCCCTAATGGGCCCATGGGTGGACCAAGTGGACCCATGATGGGACCTAATGGACCAATGGGGATGAATCCTAACATGATGGGTGCGGGAGCCATGGGTCCTGCAAGTCAAATGATGGGACCTCGTGGTGGGGCAGCCATGATGCGTGGACCAAGTCCTGGTGGTATGATGGGAGGTATGGGTAGTGATATGTATCCCATGGGAGGACCTGGACCTAATATGAGTGGGGGCCCAATGCCCACAGGCCCTGGTCCCAATCCTGGCGGCCCCAATCAAATGCTAAGTGGTTCAGGCCCCATGTATGGACCGAAGACTTCTCCTGTGGGCATGAACATGGGTGGACCAATGGGTGGAGCACCAGACACAGCCCAGCCTCTTCCGCCATCTATGGGGCAGTCTGGTACTTTCAAGAATTCTCCATTCATGGGTCCCACCACTGCCGACCCAACGTATGCCGCCCAGTTCCACAGCTTCCAGCAGCAGCTGTATGCCACCAACACCCGTGGGGGCCCCAGCATGCCCATGCCTGGATCCATGGGTGGCCCTGGTGGACCAGGAGGACCTGTTGTAACAGGGCCACCAGGAGGGCCAGGCATGCCTGGCCCTGGGCCTATGCCTGGCCAGAGCTTCCCATTTAACCCCAAGTGAGGTGTGGGGAAAACTACCTCACAGGTGACCTGGTGCTAGCAGCTGCCGCCCAGCACACTCACCACTATGCAACTCTACCCCTCCCTTCACCCCTGCTGGCCACCAGTGGTGGTGGTTGTGACGGTGGTGGTGATCCTGCTCAAGTGTGGTGGTGGTGGTGGTGGTGGCGTGCCCCCCTCCCCCGCGGCCCCTCGCCCCCCTGACCAGTGACCCGTGGCGGGTGTGAGGGTCGCCCCTCCCCACCCACCCGTGTGCCCGTCCAGTGGTGGGGTTGCCCCCCTACCCCGCACAGTCCACTCAGTTCTCACTTTTCAGGGCAACTTGTAAGTTTGTAGTTTCAATACTGTTAATGGGGTGCTTTGTAGTGTAAGTTATTCTTGCTCTGTTCACCTATCTGTCCTTCAGTGGTTGTTGACTGCTTGAAGATTTATTGCCAGTGCAGTGCTGTGGTGGAACAAAGGTGGTGTGACCCGGCTCAGATGTGTGGTGCCTGGCGTGGGATGGCCCAGCTCATGTGCAGTGTCTGGCGTGGTGGCCCAGGCAGCAAGTGGTATGAGCCGGCCTCCTGTTTGCCACACGTCGCTCAAGTACTGACTAGACTTGCCAGTTGTTCAGGTGCCCCATCAGGCAGCCCACAGTGGTAGTGGTGTTGCTCAGTGGCACAGCCAGTGTCAACCGCCAGTGCTGTGTGACGGTGCAGCTAAAAAACTTCGTTACTGTTGTTTTACTGAAATAGTTAATTTCCTAAACTGACAATCAGTCTTGTTGTCATATATGTGTGTGGGGGAGATTTTGATTTTCCTTTTGTGGAGTTGTGCTGTATCATGAGTTATGTGACAGTAAATGATATAGAAGGCAGGATTGCCGTGGTCATTTCCAGCATAAAATGCGTCAAGGAAGGTGCTTTTTAAGTCTGCCCCGCTGCACTGGTTGATCAAAATGTCTACTATGACATCAGCATTGTACAAATTGTTGAGCCCTCTCTCATGCCACACTTACATCCACTGCAATGCAATATTCATGGATGCAGCTGCTTAATGATGAAAGTGATTTTTTTATGGATGTTAAACTCCTGGTTAAGTTCATCCCTTGAAATGGTGAATATTTGTATGATCCCTTCTTTGTATCATTGTAAAGTTTGTATTATATGTAAGTTTTTGTGTTTTCCCTTTTTGTTGTTTTTTAAGGTCACACTTCTGAAGCTACGGGCCGACCCTGATGTTTTGGCAGTATTTTAGAATGTAACTTGAAGGATGTGAACATTTTTATTATTGACAAATTTTACATAAAATAATTTTACAAGAAAGTGTTTGTATCATTTCCCACATTTATCTTGTTTCAGAGTTCATCTTCATGGTTTTAGGGCTTAAAGCCTGTTTTCAGAACTTTTGCCAAGCCAGCACAATAAAAATTTTCTTCAAATATAGAATATCCTTTGGCAAACAAACTACAGGATTTTGAAATGACAGTTGTTTCTAGTACCGAGATGCATTAAACAATGGTTGAAATTTAAATTTTTTATGTGTATTCTGCAACATTGATTCACTATCACAAAATGTCAAAACTGATGTAATTTCAAGGTAGCTTCCATGATGGGTTCAATACTGTACTGTATTTACACTATATACACAACTAGAGTATTGAAAATGCTTAAAAGCCAATCAATTATATTAGGACTGTTGATATCAAACTAAACAACTGGAGTATCTAATGAGTTTTTTGAATGCATTGTTGTGATAAGGTTCCTATCCCTGCCTTAACCCTTTGTGCGCTAAAGCATTGTTATGAGTATTTTAAATGCCTATCTCTTCATTTGAGTATTCCAAAGTGGTGCCTTATTTTTTAATGGAAATGGTGGGATTTGTTTCTGGTGGGATTGATTGGCCACAGATTATGAAGCACCCACTCTTGATTTAGGACTCGCCCTCCCCCTCCCGTCACCACAGGGACACTCCCTCCCCATCCAGCTGACTCATTCCCTATGCATCTTGACAGTTCTGCCATGCAGCACAGAGTGAGTAACAGTATAGATTTTTAACCATTAATTTTTCCATGTTCAGCAATTCAATATACTGTACATAGATATGTAAGAATAATTATCTAAAATACAGCAAAATATAATTGGTTAGGTTAAGTGAGATTAGCTTAGGTAAGGCTAAGTTAAGTGAGGTTAGGTCAGGTTGTATTCTGTTAGGTTAGGTGTTACGAGTGTTCGCCATAAGTTTCTGTTCTTGGAATGAAATACGGGTACGTTGGTTCGGATTGTGTGTGGTTAGCTCGCACAGGTTCGCTCATTACTCGTCCACACTAAATGATTCATCATTTAAGTGTTAACTTTGTTTATTACTTTGTGTATTTATTGTATTATGTTTGAGTATATTATATTTTATTGTATTAGGTTTGTATATGGGTTAGATAAGTGGAACTAATGTCAATAGGTAATTTAGATAAGTTTACATTTTGACCATTTAAGATAGGATACGTCAGTATTTGGCGGTAGAGAGGTGACGTCGGTGACCAGCTGGTAGTCGGTAGTCAGTCTCGGCACAGTTAAGTAGTATACCCCTCTCTCTCTGGTGTTTTGGGAGTTGGCATTTGACTATTTAGATTTGTTTTGCTTGATATTGATTTTGTGTGATCTTGTTGGACCTTCAGTCCTTACTCAGCCACTTCCAACAACTTGTCATATTATTATTGTTATATATTTTATTTTATGTACAGTCTCATTCAAGATTCTTTGAACACTGCTGGAGACAGCTGGCAACTCACTCAAGGCCATTTGTTTACTATAGTACAGTGGTTCTTAAACTGGGGGGCGCGCCCCTAGATTCCAAGAGGGGTGCGAGCTGTCAGAGAGAAAAGTCTGGTGAGGAACTGAATGCGTCTTGTACACGAATGCTCATCCTTCCCACTCTATAATAACCAAGGGGAGGAGGGGGGCGGGGGGGAATCTAGGACTTATGCAGAGGGGGGGGGCGAGGCAAAAAAGTTTAAGAACCACTGTATAGGTATGGTAAAAATTAGGAATGAATGTAAAAGTGATTGGTTACTTAGTTCCCCATTGCTTAATTAATGGTTGGGCTTTGTTGTTTCATATTATATTATACTTTTCTGTTGGTATATACTGTACTATTAATTTGAGTTGCCGGCTGTCTCCAGCAGTGTTCGAAGAATCTTAAATGAGACTGTACATATGTGGTGGTGGGAATAAGTTAATAAATGTTTATATTTTTATTGGCTAGTTTAGGTTTGGACCTGTTAACTTGACCTTTGTTGGGAGAACTTGGGATTAATAACATAATAATTAAACTGATATATATTTGAAAGACTTAATTAAGTAAATTGTGTTTATGTAACGATCTACCCTTGGGTCGTAACGTAAATAAATAATGGGGGCCTGACCAGGGAGCCAAAGGGTAATTTGTCAAGTTACAGTTTGGAAACAAATACCATCATTATATGACATTGCTGTGTAATGTGTTATGACTGTGACTGATATTAATCTAGTGTTCTGTTGTTTTGTTACTGTGATTGTTTGTGTGTACCCTAGTGACGTGTCATTTGATTTGGTCAGTCATCATGTTTTCCCTGCAAAGATTTGTTAATGATCCCTCACTAGAGAGACTTTGCCCCGATCAGTTACATAAAACAGACTGGATTAGTATTGCTAGCTTTTAAGAAATTAACATTCAAAAGGGTCAGCGTAAGTCAACAATACAAAATGCTGTGCTTACAGAGTTGGTGCGGGAAGAAATTATTTCGGAAGAAGCCCCTCAGTTACGTGTAGTGGACACTGGGAATAGTTTAGAATTACATAAGCTGGAGATGCAACATGAGTTAGCCATGGAGGAGAAAAAGTGTGAACATGAGTTAAGGTTACATGAGGAAAGAGAAAAGGAAAGAGCAAATGAGTTAGCCATGGAGGAGAAAAAGCAAAAACCCTTGAGGTGCAAGGTAGAGTAGGATTAGCAAGGCCTAGCAACAATGACAGTGTTCAGGACTGTGATCAGTCAGTGTTTGACATCCCTAAACATTTGTGACAAGTACCTCAGTTTGACGAGGATGACCCAGAAGAATTTTAACAGCAGTTCGAGAAGGTAGCTAAATCATTCAAGTGATCTGAAACAACCTGGGTGGCAATGATTCAGACTGTTTAAAGGTGCAGCTAGGTCAGTCTTTTTGTCTTAATCGGCTGAAAAATGTGAAAGTTATGATGAGGTTAAAGAGGCTATTTTGAAGGTTTGTGAGTCGATTCCAGAACACGACAGAGTGAAATTTAGGAATGAAAGGAAACTAGAGTCACAGTCATATATTGAATTTATGTACCGTCTTTGTAAGGTGTTCGGAAGATGGATAAAAAGTAGTGTGGTAAGCTCCTATGAAGAGTTGATTGAGTTTATCATTTTAGAGCAATTTAAGAGAGCCCTCCCACGTGACATTCAGTTATATTTGGAAGAGAGAGAGGTTACAGAAGTGCAAAGAGCAGCAGCTCTGGCAGACAGTTATGCGTTGACTCATAAGAATGTTAGGTTTCAAAGTCATGTAACTGGGAACAAAGGTGGTAAGCAGGATAAGTTTGAAGATGCAAAGGCATCTGCCTCAAGTCAGGTAAATGTCCGTAGTGGCTCGGAACAAAAATATCCGAGGTTTGAGAGTACGAGTCAAATGAGATGTTTCCACCGCAAACAGATGTCACGTTTTTGCTAATTGCCCTAAGCTCATGAAGGGATGAAGGCTAAAGTTGCCAAAGAAAGGTCACGTATATCATCCACTACTATGGACAGTTAATGTCCTGCCATTTTTTAAACTCATTTGAAGATATCCTATGAAACTGCAACCAAAAGAGTGCCTGATGATCTGTACAATCATATTGCAGAGCATTTAGGTGAGACAGAACCTGGAGTTGAAGAGAATGGCAGAGTAAGACTTTCAAAGGAGAAAACTGAAAAGGTACTGAATATTGCCCAAGACTTGAGGGAAAGTGTTACCAACTTATCAATGCCCATGCACATACCATGAAACAGACAAGATGCAAGGACCTAATCAGAATATTGAACAGTTTTGGACACAACATTAGCTATGACCAGACTCAATGATATAATTATATCAGCAATAGTAGTGAAGTCTGGATGAAAAGAAAGAGCTGATTTGCATTTTCATTCAATAGAACTGCATAAGGGGTATGTTTCTGAAGTTGCCTGTACTAGCCATGAAGAGGCAGATACTGTACTCAGATAGTGACTCGCATGGCATTTTCAGCTGAGAAGTTTGGGAGTACTGATATTGTGGTTCAGTCAAGCGACACGGCTATTGCTCTTTTATGCTTATACCATCCTCATAAGATACCACAACTTCAAAGCTTATGGATTGAAAAGAGGAAATTTTCTTCCTGTTCATAGTTTGCTTCAAGATTTGTCCACAAAATATGACTGCTGCTTCAGAATTGATCCACCTTAATCAGTGCTTATGTCCTTAGTGGCTATGACAGAGTCAGTTATCCCTACAGGCATGGGAAGAATAAAACAGCAAAGGCAGCATTTGAGCTCATTAGTATAATTCCTCAGCTATCAGCATTTGGAAATAAGTACCCCTAACAGTCATCAATGAAGTGTACAAGGATGTAATCATATTTACGGCAGCTTTCTATGGACAACGTTATTTCTTCAGTGAGTATGGTGTCCTTAATATCAGACAGTGGACCCCCCCCCCAGGGCAGATCCAGGAATATCAAAAGGAAGGGGTCCAAGAAGTTGTGGTGAGGAACATGGCAAGGGCAGCAATCCCACCCAGCTGGGTTTTTTTGGGGGCATGGGGCTGTAAGCCCTCAGAATTTTTTTTAAATCTTACCAATATCATGGACATTTTGAGGCCATTTTGAAGCCATGCACACTTGATATTAGGAGATATTCAGAAATCAATAGTAAATACTTTTTACAATACTGCATTAAAGAAAAAGTATTGAAAAAGTATTGAAATTTTAAGGTAAAAAGGGGGGTCTGGACCCCCAGGACCCATCCCCCTGGATCTGCCCTTGCTTCCCCCACCGTGGTGTGCTACAACTGTTTTTGGAACTAACATGTGGCGAAGTACTGCCACAAGCCGGCCACCTGCAGTATCTGCGCAGGAAAGCATAACACTAGGAGGTGCCCCAAAAAGACAACTTCCTTTCAGGAGGGCATGCCTCTCCTCCTGGGATGCAGTGTCCCAGGTGTGGGGATGATGGTGTGACAGTCTGGCACCCTGGATGCCTGCGTCCACACACAACAAAGGTTACACCCAGTGACAACTGCAATGCTGCTGGGTCAC